GAAAAGACAATTAGCAGACAATCTCTAAAAGGAGAAGACACATGACCAAATGTTCCCACATTAGCAATTGTGAATGGAATATCAAACAAATACAATTGTTTTTGTATATTTACTTTAAAAAAAATCTGCGTGTGTGAAAGTGCTTGTGTGCATGTGTGTGTTTGTGTGCAAGCACCCATGCACAGTGTGTAAATGAATGTTAGAGTACAACTTATGGGAGTCAGTTCTCTCTTGCACCATTTGGGTCCTAGGGATCAAATACAGGTCCTCAGACTTGTCAGCAAGACCTTTACCAGCTGAGCCATCTTGACCCCATTTTTTATATTTTAAATAATGAAGAATGACAAGTAGTGATATTATCAGATTATGATTCATGTGCTTCAATCTGTAGCCCTGAGATGTAGTGTGAAAGATAAAACCTCATACATTTTTTTGACCTAGAAATCTCATGCTGAAGACATATCATAAGTAAATAAAATGAAAGAGGAGAAAACTATATTTAAAAAGATGTTCACTTCCTAATAGAGAAAAATGGGAAACTGATAAAAACTTGCCATTAAGAAAACATTACTTTTAAAATGTATATATGTGCATTTAATTGTAACTACAGTAAAAGGACAAATATGAAAATAGTCACAGTGTAGCCATTGAGGTGAGGAGTGATGAAGATGATGCATGCACACAGATGGACATGCATACATACACATGTGCACACATGTACATAAATGCACACATTTGTACACACATGATAACCATACACATATGCACATACACATAATGTATGCATAATATAAAATGCATGTTAAATTTGCAAGACCTGGAAACACATGAGAAACAAAGACAACAAAGTTATGAAGACTGTAAGAACAAAGCTCTCATTGTCATCATCTTTCCATCTGTACGGTGAGTTAGAATTTGAAAATCAAATTTCTTTTATATTATCACATTCTTTATATTTTGTTTCGAGTGAAAGAGTGAGTTAAATGGAAATGTTGGCAAAATATGATAGTTTAATAACTATCATATTTCTTTTTTCTGAATAAAAGTTGCCTGTTATGAAGTTATGCAAGAGGGTCTCAATTAAGGTTAAGGTTATATGCAGCCTTAATATCTCAATTTCTGTCTGTAATCATACAGATTTCAATGCAGCATGAAAAGATTTTACAAGGCCAAGATTATGAGCAATGGGTATGAGAGTCTTGGGAGGACACACTGTAATCTAAGATACCTTTTGGCAAGGAAGTCCTTCAAGGAAGTTCTAAGATGAACCCTTTAGACTGGGAATTCTTTCTGTAAATAGTTGCCTTGGTGAGAGACAAACCAGTCGTAACAGAAAGGTGGGTAATAGGGTACCTAGGATGTGGTGTTTGGGTGCTAGTATTTGCTGAGGGCAGGAAAAAGTAGAAGGGAAGGTTATGACTGATACCAGACCAAGTTGACTAATTTACACACTACTGATCACTACACTTAATTTGAGGATGTGAATTTCTAAACTTACAAGATTTTTTTTTTGAGAATTAGAGACAATATTTGCAGGACATTCAGTACGCTGTGTTTAAAATTCTAAAGTCATTGTGTGTGAGGGTATTCTAATTGCTTGAGCTGAGTGGACTTAGGGGAACTTTACTATTTTAAAAGATTATTTCAGGTTGGTTTGGAAATAGTGATGACTGGGATAAATCATGGTCAAGTTTTTCAAGTTGCAGCTTAAGAGGCAGCCTGCACAAGCAATCAGTCATCTTTAGACTTAAGCAATCTTACTTTGAATAGTGACTATTTTCCATAGCAAAAGGAAAACATTTCCTCTTGGTGCTTGGAGAGCACGCCCTGCTTGGATCTATAGCTTAGGTTTCACTGTGAGATATTGTGTCTCAGTTTTCCAACATCCTTCATCTTTGTACCAAACACACAAACAGGCAATGTCTTAAATTAACCTCCATGCTTGATAATACATTTACAATACCTTTTAAAATGAAAGACACACACATACACACATGCAAGCTATTTTTATATATAAGTCCACATGAATGTTTAATAGATCAGGAAAGAGAGCATGACCAGCTTTTTAGAAGTCTCCTGGAACTTTCTGTTTTTCTACAAACCTGGGTACAGTGAGGTCCTGTTGGGAGTTTGAAATTTATCACAGTGGGTGCATTTACACCACAGAAATTAGCAAACACTATCCTTGCTCTGTTTGGGGAGTCAGTTAGTCTGTTAGATCACTGATATTTCTACCTAAGCCTAACTACTATTCCCTAAACCCACCCTCAATGGTAACTATTCTCCTCACTTTTAAGATACCAGATTGGGTCTTCCAGAACTTTATATATTCTGTCAATATTTCTCAAAGGCAGACATTGCTTCTCTTTCAGCTTTCAGTTCACCCTTTACAGTATCTAACTTAGTACAATAATTTTATAAATATTTATTGAGTAGTGAGGTTATCTTTAAGTATGAGAACTGCATCCACAACAGATCAACCAACCAACCAACCAACCAACCAACCAACCAACCAACCAACCAACCAACCAACCAACCAACTGGCCTTGAGAAGTTGGATATTGGATGACATCTTAAATTATTACATGTTCATTTTTCCTATCTTCTAGACTTTTGTGCAAAGACAGAAAGAACCTTCATATTATAGGCATTTACATCTTGTTAGTGTTGTAACATTAACTCTGTTTCCTTTTTTCTGGCCATTTTCTGTTGCAAATTTTTCCTCGAAAGAAAGTGCTAAAGCCACCCAGATTGCACTAGGGGATGAAATCAGTCTGAGGCATTCTAAACTGTTCATACTCAGAAAATAAAGCCGGGGTGAGAGCAGCCAGGCCAAGAGTATCACAACAAGTACTTCACAAAAATCTCTAGATGTTCTCTGCAGAAGTGGCAGAGAGAGCTTGAGAGTATTCAGTGTAAGCAAGACAGCATGGGCATTAGAAGCAAGTGCAAAATATTCCTAATAAAACAAAGATGTTGCAACAGAGAGCAGGCCTGGGCATGGTGAGGTCTGTAGCTTGGCTTTTCTCTTGGCCTACACATGGTGGTGTGCAAGTCACTTCGTTTCATCTGTTCTCAGTGTAGTTTTGTTCTGACAAGAAGGGAGTTGCTCTACATGAGCAGTCATGTTCTTTCTAAAGCAGGGAAGCTTCAGTTCCTTCAGCTCTGTGTGCTGGGAATGAACACCCCTCCTGATGGCCAGAGCAGGTGTAGTGAATCAGCCGAGCGGCCACTCACCAGGCTGAGACTTTTGCCAGCCAGGATCAGATCCTCCGGTGTCCCCTCCAAGCCCTTCTTTCAGCCATTACTGTCTTCTCTTGTGAGGAGTGAATGGCCAGAGTGGCCAATGACTCCTCCACCCACACTGAAGGTTTTACTTACATTAAATGCTGCAAGTTGAGGCTTTAGGGAATTAAGCTATTTTTTTTTCTTAAAAAAGGGTTATGCTTAAATCAAAGCCATGAAATCCCCTCAACTCAGACCATTGGTGTTCTTTACTTCTCTAGTATACTTGCTACAAAATTGCTGATGGAAGCTGAATTTAAAGCAACTATAATGAATGTGAAGGTATTTCTCCGCAAGCAGTTTTTTTTGAAAGTTGTCTAGGCTCTTTTTGAGTTGTTTCATATGCATAACGAGCATCTAACAAGCTGGGAAGATGTTAGGGCCAGCATGCACCATCGCCTTCAGCACAGGAACTATTCTCAATGCTGACTCTGTGTTCAATGTCTTGCATTTGTGTGTTGGAAATATACAAGGTCCATGAGCAAAGGAGATGAAGAAAACAAGTTTCAGTTTAGAGGGAGGGTGAGAACTAAATACGACTCCGCGGGTATTACTAGACTCGATTGAGGGTGAGGCAAGGAGTAGTTATTAGGGAAGTCAGTTTCCTGGTTTACTTCTGTTTTACCTGTGGTGTTGTGTTAAAAGAAAGTCAATGGCCCCTATCCTATGGCGGCTTTCGAGCTCTGTTATCTCTTGGACAGTATCGATGAGTGGCTAAAATATGTCAAATTAGATTGTACACAGGTTGAGTCAAAAGACAGAGTTCACTAGCTGAGGACATGCTACATAGCAATTTGCTGGGCATTTTCTGTCACAGACCACTGAGGGAAGAATAAGCAGGTACATTCCTGCTTGATGTTAGCCTTTGCTTTCTTTGACCTGAATGAAGTGACAGGAGTGAGTGGACTTGTTTTAACTTCAGACCTCTGCTTTTATGAATGTATTTGGACATAGTCTCTACAGATGCAACCAAGAGACGATGAGGTCATGCTGATTCAGGGTGCTGAGTCAGTGGATGAGGAAATGGTGGACACGCATATGTGCACATACAAATACAAGATATACATACATGTCATGTGAGGATGGAGGCAGAGGTTAGAATGATACCTCTGTAAGCCAGTAAATATCAGAGATGACTGACAGCACCAAAAACAGGAGAGGTGTGGGGCAGAATTTTTTCAAGAGTTCCAGGAGGAACCAATTCAGCAGATACCTTGATTTTGGATTTCTAGGGCTGTGGGAGAGTAAATTCCTGTTTATTAAGCCAACTGGCTATTGTTCTCTGTTGTACCTGTGAGTAAAAAACTTATGTCTGTGTTAATACAGACACCAATTCCACTATTTATATCCAAGGTTGGTAGGTTTAGTTTTCTAGCTCTTCCTCTCCCCCCATACCACCTCCCTTGCTCACTCCCCTCTCTTCCTCCCTCTTCCTCCTTTCCCTCGCTTTCCCCTCTTTTCCCTTGTCTTTTCTTGGATCCTCTCTCTTTCTTTCTACATCCTCTTTTTTTCTCCTTCCCTTTATCTCTCCCCCTTCTTTTATCTTATTTGTGCAAGTATTTTACCACTGAGCTACACTCCAAGTCAATTTTACAGTTCTTCATAAACCATAAACACATCAAATAGTTACGTATTGTTATATCTTGGCCATTAAAAATAGGACTTGGTTGTTTACCCATTTTTCTCCATTCACTTTTCCTTTCCTTTTCTTTCAGACGGTAACCAGTTTTACAATGGACTCTCTTATTGCAGCAAATAGCAAATTTAGCTTTGATTTCTTCCAAGAGATTAGCAAAGATGATATTCACAAGAACATCTTTGTCTGCCCTCTGAGTATCTCAGCTGCCTTTGGTATGGTCCGCCTGGGAGCCCGAGGTGACAGTGCACGTCAGATTGATGAGGTATGTATCCTGAAGGATGCTGAACAGGCCCCTGTGCTCTGTCTGGGTCCGCACAGGATGCTAATCTGACCCTCAGGTGAGCTGGGGTTGCTCACTGCTCTCAGCGTTTGGGCTTGGAATCCTCTGCAGTTTCATTTCTGCTCATCTTTCTTACGGGCCTTCTCCAGCCTCCCTGCCTGATAGCTTTCTCCATTCATCTTTGCCTCTTCACCTCTGTCTTCAGGCCTGTCTTTCTATAGTTACCGAGACAAATACTGTTAGTAGCTTTAATATGAGTGCTTTTCCTCTCGTTCTTCCCTCATTAACCAGATGTGTATTAGAAATTAGATATTTAGCCAGCAGCTTAAGATCCTCCTAGACTTTCTAATTTCACTAGTCAGGAAATCCTGTTGGCTTTCCTTTTGACAAACTTCCCAAACTCCCTGAGGTCTGAACTCTATCATCTCTTCTGGCTTGCTTCTATGACAGCATCCTGTGTTTCTGTCATGGGCAGTATGCTCCTTACCCTTGTGAAAGGACTCTTACTTTTTGGCCTTTGGGTTCCTTTGTCCTGTGTCTCTTCCCTCAGTGTTTTAGTTACTTTTCTATTGCCGTGACAAAACATTGTGACCTCAGAATGTAAAAAAGAAACCACTTGATTGGCCTTACAGTTTCAGAGGATTATAGTTGGTGACGGCAGAGCAAAGACACGGTGGCAGAGACATCCAAGACTGCACATTGAGACTGAAAAACAGGAGACAGAGAAACACACTGGGAATGGCGCAAAGTCAGAGCCCACACCAGTGACACATCTCCTCCAAAAAGGCCACACATCCTCATCCTTTCAAAACTGTTCCACCATTAAGGGACCAGCTATTCAAATGTATGAGCCTATGTGGTTCACACAACCACACTCATATACTTAATCCATTGGCTTACTTTCTTCCTCATCAGTGTTTGCCATTTATCATCTTTGAAAAGCTCACTCTTATCTCCCAATCTGATGCTCCATTCAAGCTCCCAATCCCAGAAATGAGCCTCGTCACATTTACCTACATAACACATATTACAAGGCATACAGTAACCAATTACTATGTATATTATTTTTATATCTTCTGCATTGCTGCACAATCTCCAAGAGACTTTGTTCTACAATAGCACCAGACCCAGAGTAGGCACCCAACTGATGCCTGTAGAATAACGAGTGCACAAGACAAAAGTGCTTCCTGCCTCCTCAGCTGTGAGCTTCTGAGGCTCGTACTTTCTTGGCACAAAGATTAGGCATCAATACACAGAGGAATTGGATTCACAGATTAAGGCAGAATTATTTGGGGTCATTATGCTCTTGCATTTACTTGTACTTGCTGTACCATCATTTCCTGTTCCGTAAGTACTTCCTGTTCCATAAGCACTTCCTGTTTCATAAGCATTTTCTGTTCCATAAGCACTTCCTGTTCCTTAAACAACACATAGCTATACAATGGGGTCTGTGTCCTCCAGGACCAGCTGGCGTTCTTTCTCCATGTGGCTCCATAACCTGGATCTGAGCAGGGGTGGGGGGGTGACTGTCCTTCCTCACTTCCTCTGAGATGCTGGGCTGCTTGTCTCCAGTCATACTCACTCCCCAGACTGATGTGAAACTTCAGATCAGTGCTGTCCAATACAAATCTGACTTAAGCCACACATAAACTTAAAGCATTTTTAGTAGTCACATAATAATTTTCAAAGATAAGACTAAGTTTAATAATAAGGTTTAGGTAATTCATCATTTTCACAGTACCCTATCAATACATAATCAATATACATTTTAATGAGGTATTTTACATTATTGTTTATTCTATCCTCAAGACCTCATGTGAATTTTATATTTGCACCTAATTAAGACAGGGTATGAAAAAGTATAGGTTAGTAGTGGCCCATAGCTCATGAATTCCTTCTATTCCTTGGTTTGGAATATTAATTCTAGCTGTGTTCTTTTCTTTGTGTGTGTGTTTGTGTGTGTCATGTAGCCTGGGCTGGCCTCGAACTTTCTATGCAGCTGAGGTAAATCTGGAACTTCTAATCTTCCTGCTTCCCCTGGGATTAAAGGAGTGTGCATGGGTTAGAACTCTGGGCTCTGTTCCCAGTCTTGAGTGTAGTCAGAGGAGGAGGGTGGTATCAGTGACACCTGCTTCTGTGAACAATTGTTGGCTGTTTTGTTGACTTCTTGTCCATCATATTGTCTGAAAAGCTCCATGTCATTGTCACACAGGTATTACATTTCAATGAACTTTCCAAGAATGAAAGCCAAGAATCCAATGATGCCTGTTTAAAAAGCAAAAGCAAAGTGTTGTCTGACAGCTCTCTGGAAGGGCAGAAACAAGCACCAGCATCTCAGGAGAAGCAGGTGAGACTTTGCCTCAAGACTCTACCCTTCACTGCTAGCTCTTTCTTCTGCCTGTGCCGTGCCTAACAACAGATGCTTATTCTGTAAGTTAGGTGCAGGCATCAGTCAGCAGACATTTCACACAGTCTGAAGGCCCTTTCTAAGGACAACTTTTCTATGCCCTTAGTTATCCCCATTCCTCTCTGCCTCCCACATCTGGTGACACTGGACAATGGCATCTCTCTGGCCAGCGTTACTTTCCTCCTGTAAAAACAGTTAGTCTTTAGTGGTGCTTAACTTTGATTTCAGGAAGCCGTTTGTTTTTCTTTCCTTAGGATGAATCTACAGATGAGAATGAACTGCTTGGCTGCTACTTCGGGAAACTTCTCTCCAGATTAGACAGGGCCAAAGCTTATTACACTCTGAGTATGGCCAACAGACTGTACGGAGAGCAGGGATTCCCAATCTGCCCAGTGAGTTACTGTTGCGAGTAGTTTTCCCTGCTGCTGGTCTGGACCCACCATGGCGGTAGCCCCAATTAACACACAGAGACTCTGTATTTGATATAATGCTGTTGGCCAGTTACTTATTTCTTATCGGCTAGCTCTGTCTTAATTATTAACCCATTTCTATTAATCTAAGTATTTCCACGTGGTTTCATCTTACAGAGAGTGGGCCCGGAGGTTCTGCTCTCTCCAGTCTCTCCGTGCTGACTCCTCCTTCTTCCTCCTAGTCTCCTAGTCCCTCCTCTCTTGCTTTCCTATTGGACAACAGTGCTTTATTCATTAAACGGTATGAGAAACATATTTACAGAATGACTTCTCCCATCATCTCCTTTTTCTGTCTAAAATAAAAAGAAGGGTTATAACCTTGCTACCTGATCAGTCACCCAAAGTTCTGTAATGTTCCATCTTCAGCCCCTAGGCCATAGTGCATCTGGCAGACTCTTCAGCAAAGCAGGAAACTTTAAACTGTCTTCTTGTATTGGCAGTTTGTCAGTCACTTTTCTCTGTGTCCTGCAGACTGTCTGGCAGACTCTTCCATGAAGCAGGAACTCTGTAGCAATGTCCATCTTAAATCAGCAGTCACTTTTCTGTGGGTCCTGCATGTCCAGTTATATAGCATAAAGTCAAACAGTCCAGACAAGAGCAGTATCTTGTTTAAATGGCTAATCTTGCCATATTGAAAGTAAACTTCATTACGCGTTTCTTCAATGTCCATCTTCCTTTCTGATGCAGGTGGTATTGTCAGGAGCAGTTATGTCTCATTGTCAAGAAAAAACCCTAAACCGTTTTAAATGTCATATTCTGTAGGTCTTTGAAAGGTTTGAAGAATGCCTATTTATCTGAAATACATCTCTGTATATCTAGAAAATGTAACTCATCTAACTATAAGTTTTGACTATTATAGGTAAAACCTAACTTAAGTTTTGACTATTTTAGGTAACTATCTATAATCTTTACTAAATTATATATTACATTTCTAAATGAGCTATATAAACACAATACCTAAACAAAAGGAGAAATATACATATCACAAAATTGACCTTAAATTGTATCAATAATGAAAATCCATTTCAAAACAAAGTATTCATATCTATACCATAATTCCCTTTTTACCTTTAAAAAGATATTGGTTGTGGTCATTAACTATTTAAAACCAACCCCATTTAAATGAAAACAACTTTATAAACAATATTTGGGAATTTGGGCGTCGTTCTTTCCAAATTGCTTCTTGCTGGTAGGGGGCACTGTCATGGGGATCCTAAGAAGATGCAGAAATCCTGGCTGTAGTCTGCAAGGCTGCTATGTCCCAACTCTTTTGAATGTTGGATCACCTTCAACTGTTTCAGGGGGTCTGGCTTGATCATACCATGTTAGTCTGGAAGGAATCCACAGCTTTTCATTTTCTGTGGAAATAAAAATAGAAATCCTTTTCCCCAGTAACTTGTCCTTAGACTTAAGTTTTAAAGTCAAAGCATTTTTAATTTATAAATTGAATTAATCCAGCAGCATTTCCTTTAACAGTTGTTGTTTCCTCAGCAGTCAAATGATACAAAGACAATGTAATACCATAAAATATCCAGATTTTTTTAGTACTTTTATTTTTACATGGCTTTTTTATTATTCTGTTTTTGTTAGTTCTATTTTTTTATTTCTTAGTGTAACTTTTATCTGTCCTGGAATTCACTCTACACACCAGGTTTACTTTGCAATCTCAGAGATCTGTTTGCCTCTGTCTCCTGAGTGCTAGCATTAAAGGTGTGTGCCACCACACCCAGCTCCTCTCTGTCTTTTTAAAACCAAGCTGCCAGCTTGGAGCTGTGGTCATTGCCATTGCCAGCTCTTGTACACACCAGTAAGTTGTTCTTTAAAAGCCGTGTGGTTTTTTGCTGCTTATGCTGAGTCAGGAAACCTCCCTTAAAGGAGCGGTGCAAATCTTTGCTTGTCTCATGTAAATCAGAATCCAACCCAGAAAAATGATGTTAGCAAGAAGCCTTGCTTGTCTTTTTTTTTTTTTCTAAAACTCTTTTTAAAGCTTTTGTTAAGTTTGAAATGGAAGTTTCTTATTAGCCACGTTGCGGCGCCTTATGTTGTGAGCAAGGTTTTTCCTGCCAGCCTGGTCCCACCACCACGCCAGCCCCAAATAATACACTGAGACTCTGTATTTGATATAATGCTGTTGGCCAGTTACTTGTTTCTTATCGGCTAGCTCTGTCTTAAGTATTAACCCATTTCTATTAATCTAAGTATTTCCATGTGGTCTCATCTTACCGGAGAGAGGGGGCCGGTGGTTCTGCTCTCTCCAATCTCTCCATGTTGACTCCTCCCTACTACTTCCTCTTTCCTCCTTTTCTCCTAGTCCCTCCTCTCTTGCTTTCCTATTGGCCAACAGTGCTTTATTCATTAAACAGTATGAGAAACATATTTACAGAATGACATCACCCATCAAGTTACAGGGAATGGGGTGTCCACTGAGCATGCTCAGTAAGTAAGTGAGTGGGTGGATGATATACCTTCCATATAGTCTGGGCCTGCGGACCTGGTGCAGGACTGCAGCCTGCTTACTGAGGTCCCACAGTTGTGTCTCCTTCCACCCAGTTTTCATGTTGAGTTTAGGAGTCCATTTACAAGTGTCACAGAATGGATACAGAAAGGGGTACCTGATTCACAGCCCATTGGTACACACATGAGCTTCGTGAGGTCTTTCCCCACCAACGTGCATGGTAGCTGTATTTTGTGGCTTTTTCGCCTGTTGGCTGCCTTTAAGGCACTACTCGAAGACCCCCTGTTGTGTATCAATCAGATAGTCCCCAAGGGACCTGTGCTCCCCAGAAGGTGCATGGGGCCGAGAAAGGTGACCCCACCGGGAGCCCCAAACCACAGCACAGGCCTTGTTTCTGTGGACAAGCAGCACTTATCTGGAGCAGGACGGACTTCGATTAGGATTCCAGTCTCAGTAAAGTGAGCCGCATTGTCATTTAGAGTGATGTGTGTGGGTAGAGGCAGGTGTGACACAGCTGGTAGGAGCTGGCCTAGCCAAGGGTACAAAGATCCTGCTGTACTTCACAATCAATTATCTTACCAAGATGCTACCTTATATCCGATTAAAACCCTAGACTGTTGAGAGCTAACTTCACACATGTAATACATTTATTAAAGAGTAGACAAATTAATGTTTTTGGTAATGCATTTATTTATTTAATGCATCACTTAATCATATATAATTTGTGTATTAATTTATATATCAAATATAATTTAATACATGATGTATTTATTTAAAACATAATACACAATAAATAATTTAAATAAAATTATTTATTTAAAATTATACTAAATAAAAATTAATACAAATACCCATATAAACTATTTTAATGTTTGTGAGTGGAATTATATTCACAATTATTACGCTTTTTCCAAAGAGAAAGACTGTGAACATTAAGTTGGCCTTGATGTTAGGTGACCAGGAGTTTCTTTTCAGGGGGCTTTTTGTCACCATCTCATCCTAACGAGTAGCACCTCCATGTGATTTTGTTACACTCTTTCCAATGTATTTGAATTGAACAGGAGTACTCCGATGGCGTAACTCAATTCTACCACACGACAATTGAAAGTGTAGACTTCCGGGAGGATACTGAGAAGTCAAGACAAGAGATTAACTTCTGGGTTGAAAGTCAATGTCAAGGTAAGAAAGGCCTAGCAGTGAGGTGGATATTCCTTTCTCCCAAAGAAAAGCAGTGGGTTCCCTTTGCTGGTGGCTCATCTTCTGGGCTTGGTGTTTGCATGTGTGGGGCATGTTCACAGCTCATTGCAGGATGATGTTTGTATGTGTGGTGTGTGTTCATAGTTCACTGTGGCCTGGTGTTTGTATGTGTGGGGCATGTTCACAGCTCATTGCAGGCTGGTGTTTGCATGTGCGTGTTGTGTTCACAATGTATTGCTAGACAGCATCAGAATAGATTGGGCATACTCCGGCTGGTAGCTACTTAGGCACTTCCATCATTTGTTTCCGTTTTTGTTTTTGTTGTGTTTTGTTTCCTCCCAGGATGTCTGAGTTTTAAAGACTTTTGAAATCACAGTTATTTATTGTGCATGTATGTGTGTGTTCACATAGGCCTGTGCTTGAGGTATGGCTGTCAGAGGACAGCTTGCAGGAGCCAGTTCTTTCTTCCCATATGGATTCCATGATTTAGCTCAGGTTGTCAGGCTTATGAGCAAGTGACTTTACCTCTGAGCCATCTTGCCAGCCCATGACTTTTCAGTTATATTCCTGCAATCCCAGTGCTTTTTATTATGGACTTTCCTCTGAATGGTAGGAAGGACTCACTGTCTCTTTTGGAATCACACTAATGTTTGCAGAACTGAATGCATCTCTGTCCACAGGATGAGGCTCATCTTTTCTACAAAATACCCATTTAAAAATTGGAGTTCATCTGTCATATTTGAGTTATTGAGGACTCTACTTTTACTTGCAATATCTATCATGTGACAAAAATAATATAAAACATTAATTTTTTTCATTGAGAAATTACAATGTTGAAAGCCATGGTAGCACTCATAATGCATCATGCATACTTAGAATTAATATAGACATATATTAATTGAATAAGAATACCCATGCATATATGATTTTAATATCATTTTACATGACACATTAAGAATGAAGGCAAGTTAGGGAGTTTAAGATATACATTTACTTTTTAATTTAGTGTTTAATGTATGTATGTGTATATATCATTGTAGTTTGGTAGTATCTGCCCACCCACCTTCCCAGCCTCTCTCCTCCTCTTTCCTATTGGTCTCCTTCTCCTGAAATAGTCAGTTCTGCTTTTGATTCCTTCAACTGCATGATTTTAGATTCACTATAGGAGAGAAAACATGCAGTATTTTATATTCTTTCCCCATCACCCACTCATTCCCCACCCACTCTCCCTTTTAGTGCCCCTTCCACCCTCACATGCCCATCTAATACGAGAGGAGACCCGGGTTATTTGTCTTTCTTAGCCTGGTTTATTTTGCCTACCTTGATGACATCCACTTCCATCCACTTTGCTGCAAATGACATAATTTCATTCTTCTTTATGGTTAAGTAAAACTGTTGTGTATGTGTGCAGTTTTTACTCATCAAGTCTAATAATAAATACATTAAACAAGAGTGGGGCCTCTTCATTTATCAGCTGTTTCTGAACTCAGCCAATAGGGGAGGAACCTAAACTGTTCTCAGACATTTTCCCCAATGATTTGTTCACTTGCAGCTCGTTTGCTCTTTGTCCCTCTTGACTTTCACCACCAGCATCATGGTAAAGACCCAACCAACTCAAGCCTTCGTTTCATGGGGGGATTGAGATGTGGTCTTCAAGAATGAAGTCTTTAAGTCATTAAGAATGAAGACAGGGTCTCAGCCTGAATCTCTAGATGGTGGGGATCCCCTCTTCTACCTGTGCTTGCATACTTTACAAAAATGGGCTCTTTGTCTCAGGCCTGAGCATTAGAAGAGGACAAGTAATGGTTATGAGTGTGGAGTTCTTGTTCAATGAACTTTGGAGAATGGGAGGGAAAGGTGGTATATCTAAAGTGAGCCTGTGACTCAGGGCACATGCACACTTGGGTGACTGACAGACAGGGAACAACAGTGGTTGGCTTGTTAGCTGCTCTTGGTACTTGGTGCAATACTTTCTATTTCTTTCTTCCATCGGAGGCTTATTCTCCTTGTTTCCTTTTAACATGGAGTTAAAGTCAGCTTACTAATGGTGCTTACATAGAGACAACCTTTAAATACCACATTTATTTACTCTTCCTTTTCTATGTACCACAGAATTCCTGTTTGGCTATTAAGAGTAGTAGTTTGGTAAAGAAATATGGACTGAACCCTAATATATATTTCCTCTTTAGTGAGTTAGCTTTCCTTGTGTATTTTGACATAGTGTATTATAGAATCTATATACAGCCTTCATCAATATGAAATGATCCTCCCTCATTAAGATCTCAGCATGCATTAATAAAGTAGAAAAGTATGTGTCTTGAAATGGACTAGCTTGATGACAGCAAGGACCACTTCCTGCCACTTTTATGGATACTTCCCTTTCTCCTTACTATTTTTTTTTTACAATGGAGAGCTGGTCTGAGATGGAAGGCCTCAGGATCGATGCTCACTCACCTTTTTCCATTTTGACCATTTGGTGTCTCCTTTTATTGCTTATAGCAAATTACTCCATTAAGAAGAAATAGCTATCAGTACTTCCAGAAGGCTAATCTCTATCTAGAATTTAGAAGGTACCCACTTCTATAAGTGAATGTGTTTGTTTACAAAACTGAATGGATTCTTCGTTTGAGCTGAAATGAAAGAGGGTATAGAAACATTTACAAAATAGGCTTTATACTAGGCCGTGTGTGTGTGTGTGTGTGTGTGTGTGTGTGTGTCTGCGCGTGTGCTTGTGCACGAGCATGCATGTGTGTGTATCTGTTTATATCCTATCTATCTATCTATCTATCTATCTATCTATCTATCTATCTATGTATCTGTATATCATCTACCTATCTTTATATTTTTGGTTGTGAGCCTAGCCTTTAACGGCTGAGCTATCTCTCCAGCCCCTACCTATCTTTTTATATGTGAAAGCATATACTGAACTTCAATAAATGCCAGAGAAAGGAAGTTCATACTGTAGTTGTTCTATCCAGGAAATTATAAAAGTTAGGTGGTTAGATACATAATATGAAACATAAGCCATTGATGTCTGGCTTATATTAATTTGCAGCCAAAAGTGTCCAAGAGAATCAGAGAAGATGCTCTTGTTCTCTGTACTCTGAATTTGGCCTTCCTCCAGGGGAGTGAGTATTCTTCCCCAGCAACTTCTACCCTCCTTCAAGCACCCATAACCCTCTAGGTTTCTTGTGTAAGCTCTTGAGTGAAGCAATCTCCAGTGTCTCTGTAAATACTTTTCATGCAATGCATGTTCAGGTTATTCTCTGGCGCTTTTTCTCTAGGTAAAATCAAGGAGCTGTTCAACAAGGAGGCTATTAATAATGCAACTGTGCTGGTGCTGGTGAATGCTGTTTACTTCAAGGCCAAGTGGGAGAAAAACTTTGACTGTGAAAACACAGTTGATGCACCTTTCTCTCTAAGTGAGGTACTTACGGTATTAGCTTGCCATTTCTAGGTAGTCCATTCCTAATTTCTGCTAATGGTGATTAGTAGTGTCTAGACTCAAACCTAATGCTTAGATCTGTAGCTTACAATCACATTAACCATTTTGTGTTTTATAAAAGGCAGTACCCAAAGTTCACTGAACATTTTAAATAGAGCTATTCTACAATGCACACATATTTGAGAACATGGCATACATACCGAATACATACAATCAGTTAATGAATTAAAAGTTTGTATAGACTGGCACATGTCTAAAAGCCCAGCACTTACAAGGCAGAGGCAGGGGGACCACCACAAGTTCAAGTCTAGTTTTGTGTACATAAAAACTACAAGGAATCTAGAACTACATATTGAGACCTTGTCATAAAACAAAACAAAACAAAACAAGTGTATACACTTAAGAAAATAGACAGGCCTCTTCATTTTGAATCTGCTTCTTACCTCAGATAGTTAACACATGAGACAACTCTAGTTACCTCTAAATTTTCTGTCCCCAGACCCAAACATCTCCCCCTAGATTTATCCTCTATCCCTTTTTCAGAGATTATAAACACTGAGTATATTTTTCCTGGGAAAAGTGATCTGGGTGTCAGTCCAGGAAAGGGAGCATATCATTGAGATAGTTCCTGAATTACCAAGATGTACATAGAAGACTGTGCTTTCTGGGATTGCTTTGGCTGAATTAGGGTGTGGGAGATAATTGGATTGAAAGCCTAGCAGTAAGTAGTCTCAGGAGCTAAGGAACTGATGAAGGATACAGACGGATAAAGTATTGGTAATGCCCGGGCTGCTTTATTGATCGGTAGGTAGAGAGGTGTCTTAAGTCGGGTCATTGGCTTGGCTCTGAACTTCTGGCGTAGGTTCTTTTCTTCTTGAAGCACTCTAGTTCTCAGGGATGTTGAAGCCATGGGTTTTAGAGCTCTCCATGAGCTTTTGTGATAGCATCCATGTCCTCTGCAGAATGAGAAGAAGACAGTAAAGATGATGAATCAAAGAGGGAAGTTTAGAATTGGCTTCATCGAGGAGCTGCAGGCACAGATCCTGGAAATGAAATACACCATGGGGAAGCTCAGCATGTTGGTCCTGCTTCCATCTTGTTCAGAAGACAATGTGAAGAGCCTGCAAGAGGTACAGCTTCACCTTCACACTTGTACAAATCCCATCATCCAAGAAGGATGCTGTCTCAGCTAGTAGAGACATTGGAGACACATGGAATCTGATTGAGATTGGATATTCATTTTGTTTGTTTGGTTGTTTCAAACCAATGAGTGAATGCCATCTATATCAGAACAAGAGTTCCCCCACTCCCAAATTTACAGACTTCTGCAATTACTTCCCAGACCAAAGAATCTGGATGCCAAGCAGCTTGACAATTTTCACAAATGAAACAGTTCCTCTTTCTAAAATAGCTTGACCTTTGGCCTCTGCCATGCCTGGCTGTTTAGCTGCGAGTATTTTGTAAACATGCTATTTGATAGGAATAGAAATACTGATACCATAAGAAAGGACTCAATGAATGTTAGGGAGGCCCAGATACCTCTGCTCTGTGGAGAGGGGTAAGGAGAGGATAAGGAGACAGATAAGCAGATAGATAATAGATGGATAGAGATATCCACACTGTACTTATAGTAACTACCATTGCTCAAAATATATGCCACACCAGCATTACTTTTAATGTATCTGAGTACATTTCATAAATTATCTTGGTTAGCTGTATGGAAAAGGGAATTTTACTTCACAGTAGTAGGGCTGGTCTGAGCTTACCTGACTTAATCTTTCTGATTTTTGAGCATGAACCTGCCAAATTCCAAAGTGCAGAGGGATGCTGACTGTCCTACAATTCCAAAGGAGGAAATTTAAACAAAGTCTAGAGAGGAAAATTGAAATGTACCTATTCTGAGGTTTAGAGAAAGTCCTTGGTGTGCATATAACTGACTATTAAAACAGATTAACTCAGGAACTTTGGAGTAACTGAGATACTTTTGCTGGCTTGTAATCTGACTTTAAATGTCATTTCCTTCTTTTGTAGCTTGAAAACAAAATAAGCTATGAAAAAATCATGGCTTGGAGCAGCTCAGAAAATATGCCGGAAGAATCAGTAGCCATTTCCTTTCCCCAGTTTGTCATGGAAGACAGCTATGATCTCAACTCTATTCTACAAGGCATGGGCATTAAGGACATCTTTGATGAAACAAAGGCTGACCTGACTGGAATCTCTAAGAGCCCCAATCTACATTTGTCCAAAATGATTCACAAGAGCTTTGTGGAGGTGGATGAGATGGGCACAGAGGCAGCCGCGGCCAGCGGGGCTGTTGCTGCAGAGAAGGCCCTTCCGTCTTGGGTGGAGTTTAATGCCAACCACCCTTTCCTCTTTTTCATCCGACACAACCCAACCCACACAATTCTTTTCTGTGGCAGGGTCTACTCTCCTTGAACTCCCTCTGGCTCTCGGGTGCCTGAGGTGAATGGTTAATACAGCTTTCCCCTTTGCAAAACACGGGCATTTGTGTATTTGCTGACTGCTGAAGCGGAATGCCTTCTGTTACTGTTCCACACTCAGTCCCTCAAGCCGCTCAAGAGTTTTGTTCTGATGACCTCTGTCACCGGAAGCCAATTCTCCCTTGTCTGTTAATGAAGTCGCCTTGCTGTCTCCCTAATCTTTACTGTCTTAAACTTTCAAGCATATAAATTCACCTTCTATGATTTGGAGGTCAACACAATGCAGACTGGTATTGCTTTTATTTAAGTTTCTGCCCTCCTTTTGAAGACATACTGTAAGTTTCTCATTAGACCATTCTGAGAGATTGAAAAGTCAGAACGTGATAAGATGCATTTGAGCAACTTGGTTCTGTTTCTAGTGCAGTTATAATCATGGGTTCTGCATGGGCAAGACACTTGACCCCCTTTCATATGTGTTGTGCTGCTGTACTGTATCCTGTGATATCCATTCACTCCAGAGAAGATACGAGCTGGAGACTTGAGTGATAGCTCAAGTGCATGTCGCTGCCAATACTAATTTTGCACAGAAGGATGACATTTCTTTTATGGATTTGACTCTGACCTAAGAAAGTGGCAAGTCTATTCTAAAGGTTTGGTCTCAGTTTCCTACAAGGGATTCTCTTGTAATCGTGACCCTTAGGAATCATTACCATGTACTCACCTCAGTCTCTGCTCTCTCTCAGAGAATACACATTTATAGGTAGCTTCCCCTAAGCACAAGGATGCTGAAGCTGGGGAAGAAATTGTTCACCATTATGGATGGCTGGGAGACACGCTCTTCTATTTACTCTTTCTGATATGAACTTGTTTAACCTTCCAAAGGCCTAGTGCTGGGCATACTGAGAATGGATACTATATATATTTTTTCAGGAAAACTATTGATTTCATGTGAAATTCTAGGTTACTAAAAGATGAATGAATGCATGTTCTTGGGCTCCAAGCTTTTAGAGTTCATGACATGCGCTTTACCTGGTTGCTCTGGAATGACCACTGGAATGACTTCCAGCAAGGAGAATTATTGTTAGGCTCTGCTGTATCAAATAGTGTTCTTGGTGTGGTCCAGCATCCCTGCCCTGCACAGTGATGTCTTCCTCCAAGCTGCCATTGCACAGGGGAAGGGTGCTTGCAGCAGGTTTTTCTAGAAGCTGATCGATCACCTCAGCTTGGTATGATGTTGCTTGCCTCCTCCCTTCCTCGTGACTTCTCTATGCCATGAGAAACAAACCCTACATTCTTCATACAGACTTCTCATCTTTTAAGCTTATTCATGGAACAAAACAATTTGTTCTTTCAATACTTCTTTTTTATTGACATTTTTGGAGTTTCACATCATGCGCCCCAATTCCGTTCACCTCCAGGTCACCTATAACCCCCTCATCCCTGCCAAATCCCATCCTACATAAGGAAACAAATCAAAGCAAGCAAGTGAGCAGAAACAAAAGAAAAAACACACACAGCAAAACAAAAAACCAAACCAAAACAAAACCAAAAACCAAAATCAAACCCCCAAACCCCAAAACAAAACAAAAACCACAGCAGAAAAATCACTTGGCTTCTCCTTTTTTGCTTGTCCATCACCTCTTCATTGGTCCTGGCTTCAACGAAGGCTTCAGTGTTTTAAACAGTACACCACTTTGTCCCATCAGTTTTACTGGCACACACCTACTGCATCGAGTCACTGATCTGGTTCAAGGCCTCTGGCCATCACTGGATCCCCCCTGGAACTCCTCTGAGATATCCCGTGGCTGCCGTATGTCTTGGAGCTCTTGCTGGTATCATTCCACAGGACGAGTCCCTTCACAATCTCCAGCAGGTCCTAGATGGGATAGATGCTAGGGTGGTCAACCCAAGACCTGGCTGTGAGCCTGGATAGTAGCCAAGCTGGTCAGACAATACAAGCTGCAATGTTCACTCTTCTAAAGGATTTATTTTTTATGTATATGGCTGTTTTGTCTGAATGTATGTCTGTGCACCAAGTGTACACAATGCCCATGGAGATGAGAAGAGGGTATTGGATCATTTGGAGCTGGAGTTACAGATGGTTGTTTGATAACATGTGGATGGCAGGAACCAAACTCAGGTCCTCTGGGAAAACACATGCTCTTAACTGTTGAGCCATCTCTCCAGGCTCAGGAAAGAGATGGCAAGATTCATTTCCTAGAGGCAGAAAGAGCATTCAGGTCAGTGGGGTGTAGCTGCTAGGAAACCCAGCAGGTCATGACAATCATGATCAATGGCTCTTCCATTTTCCAGTGCACAGATCTCTCCATCCAGCAGAACAAATGGAGTGATGCAGCTTCAAAAACAGTTGCTGCCTTTCTGAATTGTACAGTGTTTGGTAAGAAAGCTCTAGGTGCAGAGGCCTTAACAGACCCTCTAGTGTTTCCAGACTCTCCATGATCTCACATTGACCCACCTCCTCCTTCTGATTTCTCTTTTTTTCTACTGCATCATTTCCCCATCAAACCCCTCCTCAAATTTTCTTCTTGGTATGGCTAAACTGGAACTTGTCACTTCATGTAATTGCTGCTTATTTCTTTTGCCTGTGTAGAACTTTTTTAAAAAAAAACCACTCAATCATTAACTTAAGGCTATTTCAATCTGGGAAGCAGAGTGGGAAGGCATGCGGTTGGCTCAGTGGCTGTCTTAGATGTGTAGTTGAGTTCCAGTTCCAAACGTAACAGAACTCATAAAGAGAAATAAAGTGCTAGAGTAATACAAATATAATATAAGCCTGTAAATAGCCTTTAAAAGTGGGCAAGAGACAGCATTGGTGGTTCAGTGGTAGAATTCTACACAGGAGGTCAAGACTGGTTTCTTGGATAATGCGCTTCCAACTTTTCATAAAAGGAGGAAAGAAAAAAAGAAAGACAGAGGGGGCAAGGATCAAAAGCAAGCCAGTGGAAGATATAATTACTGAAATAAATCAAATGAGAATGTTGCTATTAGGATTTATGGGAAATAGTGGAAGCTGCAAATTTAAAAAGAGAATGAGGGTTGTAGAGAAGGCACCATGTGTAAAACACTTGTCATGTAAGAGTGAAGATCTCCAGAGTACAAACACCTGGACACACAGCAGATACATCTAGACAGACAGCTGGACACACAGCAGGTACATCTAGTCAGACAGACACACACCAGGAAGTAAACCCAAGAATTACCATGCTCTTGAAAAATAGACATGCCAAGAAACTTTACAGAGTTTGAGAAAGATATTAGGCTGTAAACCATGACCAAAATAATTTTATATGTGGGATAAAATTAATATGGGCCTAAACTTATTTTTTTACTTATTCTTTGAGAATTTCATACCTGTTTAAAATAAAATTTGATGATAACCAGCCCATTTTCCCACTTCAATTTCTGAGTAAATCACAGTCTGAAACATTTATTTTGTGTTGGATTTTGGAGAAAAAGAAAGCCTGGTCCATAGTTTGGAAGGGGAAATACACATTTAAAACTTTTTATAGCCAAGTTGATGTTTGTGTACAAACCAGTAGGAAATTATTCTCTTCTATTTCTGTGTATGTAAATGTGGGTCTGTTCAGCTCTAGCACCTGACACTGTGCTGTAAATATCAGGGAAATTAAAATGAAATATGTGCTATTTGAGTGGATTCCAATGCAGGAAAAGACTCAACAAACCAGCCACAAAATTAATCCAGTAAAAACATATCCTTAATTTACAATTGCAAGAAGAAAAGAAACTCCTCATTTAGAATTTTCTACCATCCCATAGCTGTCAGCAGCTATGACTCTTCCTGGTAGCATCCATGCTTTTCATGTTTAGGATGCGTTTCAAGTTTCAGAGTAACAGTGCAGGCACAAAGTCTGAATTAGAACTGTGATAAGCCCAATACTTCCTTTGTCACTTGTGCGGTAGTGTTGGCAACTCCAACCCCATCAGACTATCAGCCATTCACCCCTTCCTCTCATTCGGAGATATATGTCACTCTTACTTTCACATCCAGCAAGTGGCAAACTGAGATACAGAGATTCAGTGACTTGACCAAGATCTTGCGGGAACAAATGGTTGACTCTAGATTTGGACCAGGTTGACTGTTTGCTATACAGTTGATAACCGCTTCTCTCTGCATCCTTCTAAGCAAAAATCAAGGCTACAAGGAGTCGTTCGCTTCCATCTCTTTATTTTACCTGCTTGGTCTATCAGAGCTCAGAGGTTTTGGGTGTAGGAGTAGAATTTGGGTTTAGAGTGCCAGTGTTCTTGAAGTTCAGAGATGGAACAGTTAGGAAAATGCAGAGTGGCAGGGCTCAGGACTGCAGTTAGTTTCAGGACTGCAATGTATTCAATAGTGAACGGCACAGACCTTTGTGCTCAGGCCGGATCAGTGTGTCAGACTGAGGTGTACTACAGTGGTACCTGGCAATCTAAAGGGAGAGAAGTTGTTCCCAAGAAAACTTATGAGCCACTAATGCACTTACATTAAAGAACTCACAGTCTCTCCCACTCTTACATTTCTGAAGCAGGCTGAGGCTAAGCCCCAAAGGGAACCATTCAGTTTGATGAGGGATTACACATGCAAAGACCAGCCTATCACTTGGACCTACCCAACAGTAGAGGAAAATAAAACCAACTTCAACAGTGCTTATAGACCAAATGAAAGACTTAAACAAATAGTAGTAATCAAGGATTCATTATTACTATGAATTTCATCAGTATAACAGACAGACAGCAGCCTGAGTAGCATAATAGACTGTGCCAAAAGTTAGCCATGTGGCTCATGCCTGCAATCCCAGGGTTGAAGGCTGAGGCAGGAGGATCACTATAAGTCTGAGGCTAGTCTGAGCTATACAGTGAAACCCTGTCTCAAGAAAATGTCATGTGCATGGTGGTTTAAGAAATATAACCATCTATTATGGAACATTCCAGGAATAAGAGAAAAAGGAATTGAGGTCAAGGATAAAAAATATATCTGCATGACCAGGGGTTGAGCTCAGTGGTGAGAACATTTGCCTAGAACTGGCTTATCAGGAACCCACACGTCCATACTGTGGCA